TTTTTTTCTTTTTTTTCCAGCCCCCGCCCCGGCTGAATACTGAACAAGGAAGAGTTGAAAATTACTGTAACAAGGAACAGCACTTTGTAGATACGTGGCCAAAAAGATTGTAAGTCTGTTCATATGATATGATACTCTACATCTGTCAGTTCATTTATTTGCACAAATCATCTCATTTTCATCTTACTGAACTCTTACAGTAATAAGAATTACACAGAAATAGCTAATAGATACTGATCATGTGCTACTCGAGAAAGTTAGAAAAATGAAGGTCAACTTTGTACTTAAAAATCAGAAAAAGCCAGCAGAAACAATGCCTATCACTTGAGACCTGCACCTTAAATTCATTTCCCTTTTCAGCCATAGTTCACAAGCTCATTTCCCTAAATCTTGTTTCAATTGCATGGTGACAGATAGAAAAGCAGGCTGTCATGTGCAGAGGTTCAGCATAAGTTGAGTGAATTACTGTTGCCTGTAGTTAAAAAGCAACAGACATGCAGGCAGACATCAGCACGTCAGTTCCTGATGGACAAGATGGGTCCATCTCTCACAAAAGTTTGCAGAATAGGTTTGGCCACTGACTGAACCATCTCACTGTGGTCCCAAGTGATTCTTACACTGAATAGTGAAGCACATTGCTGAGAGATAAAGCAGGGACAATAGGATGACACTGATTTTGTCTCCAGGTTGTTCCCATCCACAAACTTTGGTTTGCAAATCTTTCTAAATCAACCTTTTTGCAAGGATTTACAAACTGAAGATATTACTTCCAAGGTGATTTCAATACAAATTATGAGCAGTTCATATCTCTTAGTATTAGCTCAGCATAGTTCAGTTTTGAAAAAAAATCAAATAACTACACTAGCATCAGAAGCAGAATCTTAAAAACAGGAATGTAAGCAATTAAATAATCTAGAGAACAACAAGGCAATAGCAACAAAGGAAACAGAAACTAAAAGGTGTATGTGTTCCGTATCAGAATTCCCACTCATAGTGACAGTCAAATTTATATAGGGCTCTCAGTCTCATGCTTCTCTTCCCACTCTTTCTTTCAAGCTGCCTTAAGGGGATAGAGAAAATTGGAAGACAGAGGAAGGAACAAAGAAATAGGAAAGCAGCAGTTTATTTACTACACGTGGCTGTCGTTTTCTCTTTACATCTACTCTGCTGCCTCAAACTGTATTTGTCTTTTACTGTCTTCTCAAGGTTCTCTGTCTCCTTTGACGCTTTTCATACTCAGATGATACTGTGCTGATAAACAAATGCCTCTCTCCCTTTGCAGCTGTCAAATTCTGGCAGCATGCACGCTTTTATCCAAAGAGACAGAGAAGTTATTTAGTTTCATTTCCTTCTTGAAAATCTTCATAGAGCTTTCACTTCTGGGAGAATGCGGCAGAAGATCAGAAGTAGGCAAAAATCAACTGAAGTCGCATACCTAAAGTCAAGTGTGGAAGGCAGGCTTTTATTTTCTTTTTTTACCTCGTTCATCACCGGAGATTGTGAACTTGCGAGGACTTTGCCCAGTCCATAAACCGACATAGCCAAGAAACGTAGTGCCTCGATATGCTATCTGAAACCAGGAGACACGGAGTATTTCAGCGTTCTGGAACAGAGCACTTTTCCAAAGAGAAGCAACATTCTGAAACAGTATAGCATACTTTTTCCTGTGCCTTTCGTGAATCCTTTTGAAAACCTCTTTAAAACCTTTTGCCCTGTAGGAAATGTTGCAAAGGAAGTTATAAAAAGACTCCGAGGACCAAAATACACCGCATTTAATTTGTTAATGATCACCAACTGCTATAAAAATACTGCTCAAGTTGGCAAGTGGCCAAGTAAGAATTCTGTTTACAAGAAGTACAAATGAATATTCAGAAAATCACACCAGCAAGGACTGCACTAGCAAACAGTTTATTTTTGGCAATTAAATTAATCAAGACAATCAAGAAGGCCTTAGAAAAATACCTTAGAATCTCTCCCTGCCAAAATGGATCTATTTCCTATATTCGCTAGTATTTATTTGTTTTCAGAATCTTGGCACTTTCTTCTCTCTACGCCTCCTTCCAAATAATGATCTTGAGACACAAGATTATGCTGTTCCAATTTGTCACCCCTAACTAGAAGTCCAGAAAAACAAAGACAAAAACAAAACAAAACAGCACTCATCCCGCATTCCCAGAGAAGAATGGTGGCATTCTGATAATTCAGTGAATTTGGGTCATGAACCTCATTACTAAATTAAATACCACAGCCTGTGCAGCTGAACAACAGTACACCGCTGCTTCACAAACACACCACTCAACCACATCAATTACAGTTTATACCTGACCACTTCTTATAAACTGCACATCGATGGTAATCTTGCTTAATATATCTACAAAATCATAATCCAGATTCCGTCCATGGTAAATGTTTCCTTTGTCATCCTGAGCGATAATACTTGTGCAAAACCTTAAAGGACAAAAAAGCAAAAGAAGGATTTTAAGAAAAAGTATGACAACAATTTCAATGTTCTGGTCTGGCTGAACTTGCTCAGGTTTTCAGGAGTAACTAAGCTATAGTAACTGAGTACAGCACCCACGAAGTGAAGACCTTTCCCAAAAAGTCTAACACAGTAAAACAGTGTAGTATTTAACTTAGGACATCCCACGTGGCTCAGAATGCCAAAATCCCATCCCCTCCAGGTCAGTGTTACAATGCTGGGCAGTCTGATCTGGTGGGGGCCACCAGCCCACAGCTTGGGGGTGGAACAGGGTGGGCATCGAGATCTCTTCCAGCCCAAACCGTGCCACGGTTCTGTGACCTTCACGGATCCCTTTGAACTCAGATCTTCCATGGTTCTATGATGGAATTAGCAGGGAATTCAAAACTCCTTTTCTCAGGAGTTGTAAGTTTGTCATCCCGGTGATGCACAGCACTGTCTGTTAAAATACTAATGGTAAATATATACATATATATATATATATATATATAATGGTAGACCGATAGTTGGATCGTGGTTGATGTTTACTCTCGAGTACTGATAGAGCTGAGAAAGTGAAAATATCACGCGCCTCACCATGCTCACAACGCTGCCTGCCCGCCGAAGCACCGCGAGCCGGCGTACAATAGGCAGCGGAGCGGCCGCAAGGCTCTGCGCCTCGTCCCGACCCGCGCACAGCCCGCCTCCGGCTGGACGCACGAAACGGCGCCCCAGACGAGCGCAATTCATCTGCCCCGTCCCCACCTGCCCTTTCACGTGGGCTCCTACACCGAACCGAAACGAACCCGCGCAGCCCGTCAGGCCCCACTACTATCTGCCGCTTACGCCGTAGATTCGTAGGCGAAGTTGAGCAGCACTCCGTCGCCCAGACTGACCCCCAAAGCCTCGCACAGCCCTCGAATTTCGCCGGCAAAGGGCTGCGGCATGAAGGACTCCAGCTCCGCCGCTATCGGACGAATGACGTCGTGGAACCATTTCGGTACGGCTTCGCTGCAAAACACGCTTCAAGGCGTTAGCGAGCCGAGAGCGAGAATGAGGTCTGCTACTTACGTCGCGCCGAGAGCCCGCGGCACAACACCGCGGGCAACCTCTCCGCCGCCCGAAGGCGCCCAGCAGCCGCCCGGCCGCCCCACCCCGCCCCGCACTCACTCGATGACCCGGGCGACGGCCGCGCGCAGGAAGGCGGGCTCGAAGTGCCGCAGCACCGGCAGCCACCGCTCCTCGGCCGGGCTGTCCAGGCTCACGTTACACAGCAGCGGGGCCGCCGCGGGCCGGGCCGCCGCCCCGCACAGCGCTGCCGCCAGCAGCAGCCCTCGCAGCGCTCCCCGCCGCATCTCTTTCGCCGCGGCCGCCGGAGGGCACGGCCGTGCGAGCCGGGACCCGAGCCACGACGGCCGCCTCACGCCCCTGAGGGGCGGCTCAGGGGGAAGGGCCAGGAGATGGCGGCGCGGAGCACAATGGTTGCCTCCCGCGGGGAAAGCCCCTCACAGCCCCTTCCCGCCCGCCCCCAGCTCACGGGCACATCAGGAAGGATGTTATACACTGCAGGGCAGCGTATGGAAAAACGACAGAGGAAGCGAGAGGAGATGGAAGCGTCAATTTCAATTCCCTGACTCCCTCATGTTTAAGTGAGAGAAGTTGAGAAACTGGACACAGCTGCTAGAGACTGGGGGCCCCAGCTCAGCTGAAATAAAACACCTGCAGGGAAGAAATGCTTCTTCCAGCCTCAAAAAACAAAACACTTCTAAATCAACTTTCAGTGAACAGAGAGAAGGGGATTTCCTACAACGGTGCAATTTCATCCCATGTTCTTGCCTGGCTGTGGTGTCCAGCCATCAACTGCAATAAGTTCCTTCCTCTTTATATCTCCACCAGCAGCCTGGAGCCTCCATTAGCTTCCATGCTCTAGGGTAAGCAAGGTAGGACAATGAAAATAAAAAATAACCACAATAACAATGCATAAGAATTCAAATTGATACAACTGGGTGTTTAATATAAACACCTATGCCAAATGAATTCTGGTATGGGATATAAACAGGCTGGCTTCCTAATAAAGGAAAAAAAAAAAAAAACACAACAAAACCACCACCCCAACTGCTTCTCTATTACACCATGCATGACACTTCTCCCCACTAAGGGGAGCAGAGCTTCACAAAGGGTAGTACAAGTAACTCAGTTATCATGGAAATGGGTGGGTGACAGAACAGCCAGCAGCATTCCCAGCCAAAGCTAAGGCTGAAGCAGGAGCTCAACCTTTATATCAAGGTAAAGAACCCAGTGATCAATGTTGTTCCCATACACACTCCAAAAAAAAAAAAAAAAAACAACAACAAAAAAAACCCAAAAAAACAACAACAAAACAAACAGGAACAACTCCCACCACATGATGTACTGATAGAGGAAAATAAGATACCTTATCTTGCCTCCATGTGATACTTCCGTTTAAATGGGAATGTGAAAGGCTCCTTCTATATTAACTGCATTCTTTTCTTCCCCCCAATACACTATAGTAAAGCAGTTCTTCCCCTTAACTTGGTTTTATTATGAACAAAAGAGTAAGAAAACAACCACTTCGGAAATAGCTTACTAAGTCTATGAAATCACACCCGTAAGTCAGGCATACACATTGCATACACATACTTCAAAGGGTGAGCTGGAATATTCATTTTCCTTCCAATTACCTCTTCATTTATTTAATCAAGCAAAATACTTTTATAATAAAATTGTATGCTTTAATTCATACTTACACAAAACAGCCATAAATAAATTATATTCAGTAAAAAGGTAAAGCACTCTAGAAAAGGTGGTTAAAAATTAAAATCCTACAGGGATTAAGGCCTCCTCAGTGTCCTATAGATGCAATATCCAATTTGGCAGCGTTCAATTTCTAATTCTGAACAGTAGAGAGGTATCAAAATGAATCCACAAGGCAATTCAGTTATTTTTTTTTCCCCCCCTACTTCTTTGAGAGAGGAGAAAAGTATTTCTAGAGTTGTTTCTTCAAGGATAACTATTCCTTTACTGTTTTATTTCAGCAGCTGCTTCTTCTTCCTCAGAAGTGCATCTCTAAGAGCCAGCTGGAATATGAAACAAGAGAAGATTATTCAGGTATTTCAAACTCTCACACCTGTAACTATAAGTAAGGAGACTACTACACCAACAATCCTTCCCAATACACCCCTCACACATATCCCATTGGTACACACATACTTGTAGATAAGATCAGAATTTAAAATTATACAGATAATTAAAACTATGCATAGAGAATTTTATAAATAAACCAGATTTTCTAACAGCTTGCAACATCTGTGCTATAAAACACATCTAAAGCAGCTTACATATTACAGGTGAGGTGGCCCTGCAAGGTGAACCTGAATTAGCTTTAAACCATCTGACTCAGGTGCAATAACACTGTAACTGTAACAGCACTGAGGAACCAGTGGATCATAGACAAGCAAGTTAGTCACACTCAGCTCTTGCTTACTGCAGTTTCATGACTATTTACACCCAAGCTCAAAAGCCATTGTTTTATCTCTGAAGGTAAACAACACAAATTTGATGCGAGGACTGGAAAGTAGTAAGATACCAGAATGCAAACGAAAATTTTTCCACAAATACCTACAGAAAATAGGAGTTTAACAATATTTTTAGCTGTAAAGTTAAGAACTTTGGGTTGTGCTTAGAATTAAGCAGATGTTTTTGTATAAGTTTCACTAACCTATTTTCAATAACAATGTGTATTACCAAGGAAAAATCATTTGCTCAACCTCAAAGAAACACCAATAATTTTTCAGCTAAAACTGGGAGCAATAACTTGCAAGTGCTAACACAGATACAGTGGCAGAAACGCTGTAGCTGCTTGGTTCAACTTTACATTTCAGGAGTGAGTTTGGCTTAAAAGAAAAAACATCTTTCATTAATGCATCAGTATGTCATTTAACATCCTATATAATTAGGAAGAGGACAGTAACAAACTTGTTCCACTGATTAATTCAGCACAAAGGGACCAGAAGAAACTTCAGTCCAGCTGAAAGGTAAGTGGAATTAACAGACATTTGTGGGAAGATTATTATGAAGCTGCTTTACAAGGGTGAGAAGAAAGAGTGCAATGAACAACAAAATCTCTCTGAAGTGATACATTAGATATGTTTTAGCTGGTAAGAAGATTTAGCTCTAGACTAAAAGAACATTCATTTTATTCTACCACTAAGGAGGGCAGTAGAACACAGTATATTAAAACTACATTACTCCAACCCTCTCTTAACTGGTACTTACAAATCAGTCAACAGGTACTGTAGTCTAGTAAGTATGAAAGAGCCCTTCCTTTCACTGTTTAGCTGATGCACTGAAACTCAAAACATTAAATCCAGAACAAGTACTGAAACCATTCAAGATGGCTCTTTAGAAACAGCAAACCAAGTTTAAGAATCATTGTAATCTCAAAGAAAAAAAAACCACACACAAAACTACAATGGAGATTGTTTTAAGCACATGGATCCCTGCTTTTGATGTATTTAATATTACCTGTTTTTCCCTGAAAGAACGCTTATTTTTGGTCCGGACATTATGGCTATATCTCATCATCATGAAGTTCTTCTGCTTTTTCTTTTCTTTATTGGTTGAGCTGGCAAAGGGATTCAATCTTTTTTTCTTTTTCACAAATTCTTTTCTATCTGTTTTTCCAGCCTAGAATAGGTAACACAATATAACAGTCATTTGTTTTTCACTACAGTTAACATAAGCTGCTAGACTGTAGGGTAGCAATTACAAATCTGGATTCAATATCCCTCCATCCTGGCTGTATTGTGAAACAGTAATTCAATAATTCAACAGTAACAATAATTTCAGTGAAAATTGGAGGTGCCTATATTTAACAGCAAGAGATTATTTCTCTGTTACAGCCAAGGTGCAACATTAAAAAAAATTAATCAGAACACAGATGGCAGCTCCACTTCCTTATTTCAGAATAGATAAAACCCACAGCCCTTTAAGAAGTCTAAAAGAGGATATGAAATAGCCAAGTTCCTCACCATTGCAGTTGCCAGTCTTGTCTCCTTGTCTGACTTTGGCTTCTTATGGAGATGTTCAATATCTCTGAGTGAAAGCAACTCTCCTCTACATACACAAAAATCCAACAAATCCAATCATCATACACAAAGCATCTTCTGACCAGAAAAACAAAATGCTCTCCTGACTTTTGTCTCTCACTCACCTCTTATGCCACTGTCCTGCTATACTCACTCACAAAAGCACTTGTTCTTTCTCTCAGGCTAACCCTCATATTTAGGACAACCCCTATAAAACACTTTCAATACTGTTTTTCAAGACCAGCTTGAACCACAACATTTAAGAATCTGGAGATACAAAGTTGCAACCACTGCTCGAATAACAACACACCCATTGGTCTGAACAAGAAAACTAGTCCTACTGCTTCAATCAGAACCTCTTGCTTATTCTTATGGGTTTAAATGAATTCCTCAGGCCAGGATCCATTTGAGGCTGTGTGGCTGTTTGTCACCTGTCACCAGCCATGAATGACCAAGTTCTACATCTGCTGGCATCAGAAGTTACCTCACCAGACTCCAGGTGAAAGAAAGCATTCATTAGCATTTTATATCCTACCTGCTCTCCTCTTCATCATCTATTTCAATATTTTTCCTCTTTGCAGCTTTGCCTGGTGCAGAATTGATTTCTCTGGAGAGCTGGGCAAGACGTATTCTGTGGAAATCTTCCTGAGTTAGCAGCCTACTTGTACTGACTGCTGCAGCTTTAGCTTTTCGTTCCTCCATGGGCATGCTTTTGATCTTCTCTGCCTTTTAAAATAAGAAAAAAAAAATCCTGACCTTTGCAAGCAAGTTCTATGCTATAATTAATGACCCTTGCCTCCCAAATATCTACATGAGATATTATGTAGACATCTACATAACTTATGCTTGGAAAGGATTTAAGCAGTTGTTAGGACTTATATCCTACATGTGGTATTAGAAGAAAGCAGTACCTCAATTTCTTAATATTTCAAAGCAGATAAAAGCATTCACCATGCAAACATTATAGCTTGGCAATGGAACAGAATTCCCCGGCTTTCTCCCTTCATCCTGACAATAAACACTTCAGCACAGGTGCACAAGTATATTTCACCTCAATGATTCTGGTCAAATTAATCTCCATAGTTTAAAGCAGTCACATGAAAGTACAGAGCAAGAGAATCTGGACTGCTATTAACGAGTCCCATTTCTATTTAGGGTAGAAGGCACTTGAAACTCACCACTTCTTGCTGTTCCTCATCTGAAGAGTGGTGCACATCAATCCACTCTCCATCCTCACCGTCATCCTCCTCACTTATACTAGCACTTTCCCATCCATCTGCTCAAGGGAAGAAATGCAGAGCTGCTAGTATAAACCTGGTTCAACTGTTTGAGTTTCAGACAATTTAAGAGCAGATCCCAAGCTCTCACCATCTTTCTCTATCTGCTAACTATATGAACTTACTTGTTATGAACTTACAATAAACATAGGAACCTCACTTACTCAGAACAAACCACAGAAGATACCTAAGGAATTTGCAAGAAGCTAGCATTGCAGCAAGCTGTACTGTAAACAATGCTTTGTAAAGAGTAACTCTCATGAGAAAGGCTCTCAAAACAATGAACTGCATTTTGGAGAGACTCTGAAGAAATGCACTAGTTTGCAGATGTTAATTGTACCACACTGTTCCCTCTTCCATCTCTCAGTATACACTGCATGAAGAAACATGGTGACCATCAGACCTTTCTGGATAAACTACACTTAACTCAAGGACAAGTATCAGTGCTTCTTAATAGACAAACATATGCAAGCCACGCAGTAAAAAACACCAAATTTTAAGAATAAAACCTTAGTGGTGATGATGCACAAAATTGAAGTACTAAAGAAGAAAGGCCTACCTTCTTCTTGGTTTTCTCCTTTTTCCTCTTGATTCTCAACCTCCAGTACTTCTGCCCCTGGGATGTAGTCCTTGGCATCCAGTTCTCCATATTCATGAATCCTGGCTTCCACCGAGGCCTCAGTAGGTTTACCCTGTAAGTAAACAAAACACATGCTAAGCAGGCTGCTATTTTAATTCCCATTAAAAATAGCTAGATGGGGGTTATAGAAAAATTCTGCATGATGAAGCAATTAAAAAGGGTCTTCAACTACTGTAGAGTTCAGTAACTCTACTGTACTCAAATTCCAGGGAGACAGGTTTCTGTAACACTTCTGTCAATGAATTTGATAAATTTGTACTAAAGCAGCCTTGAAACAAGAGAAAGCCATGTAAAAATGCAGCAAGGGAACAGGCATGGAGAGGAAAATACACAGTCCCATCATGTTCTCAAGAGGCTATGAGACTAATCATCATCATCATCATTTTTAAACACGTGAGCTATGTGTACAGTGAATGAACTGCATGGAAAACAACCCTTACCCGGTATTTCTTCTGCAGCATCTCTGGATTCAGTGAACGGAAGAGGTGTATCAGAGTTCTTGCAGACATCATCACATCTATCCAGAAAAAAAGGATCAGGATTAAGTACAAAATAGCTCCAAAGCAACCTGAAAGCTCACTCCCATAATCATTATTTACAGCCCGCTCATGCGATTTCGAGTTACAGCTTCACACTGATTTCTCTTAGAGCCAAATGTTCACTAGCTAGTAGCTGATCTTCTCTACTTTTGTCAATTACTCCCTATGCCTTAACTACCTGTGACTGTTTTTGTCTATGTATATGCACAGAAATACAACAGCCCAACAGCCATACTGAAAACAAAACATTTCAGTCCACGTTAAAGGAATAACACAGAATTGTTATGAAAGCTGTAATAACTGAGGGCCAGCTGATACAGCAAAAAAGGAAGATATAAGGATATATAAGTATTATACATGTAATACACTCACTTTTATTTTTATGACTCTTGTAGTGAGCAAGGTCATGGAGCAGATCTTCGGTCATGGCTAATGGACATCTTGCAGTGATTTCTTTTATTGCATTGATTCTAAAAATTCAAAATGAAATATTTTCCTGAATAACACAGCTAGGAGAAAATTTCACAGGCCCAGTAACTGACTGAATCATCTCATACTTGACACATTATATACAACATGAACTATAACAAAGAGGAACATCACAGGATGCACTCTGCCATAGTTCTCAAACTTTCATCTGCACCCTGCATCTGCTATTTTCTCTGATCTTAGACCTCAGGATTCTGTAAGTGAAGTCTGGGTCCAAGCACATTCACAAAAAGCTGTCAGTCACCAGGGATAGGCGACGTGAAAATGAAGAAATGGTTTTGCTGTCAACCATGGACAGAAAAAGGACAGCAGTAAAGAGAGCCTGTGTTCTAATACAAGTTCTCTTTTAAATTACCTTCATGTACAGTCAGTACATTAAACTCATTACTGGAGTGACACCACACAGGGATGAAAATAGTTCAAGAAATATTCTAAACGTGCTTGTATGCAGTAATCTTGACAGACAGTTAAACTCTCTCCTATATTTACTCATTCCACTCTGCCTGTAGCAGGCCTTTTGCAAAAGTTTATGATTAAATACAGTCCTAACTTGTTTTTATTCAAGCATCAAGCTGATCTTTAAAAGCAGAGATGAATGACAGCAATAGGCTGCAAGTGGTGTATATTTTTTTCCTGCACACAGAGTTCTATAGTTTTAATGAGGTTCTGTACCCACCCTACAGTCATGACCTCTCCAGAATTCTTGTCAGTGACAAAGTTGTTGGCAATGGTCATCAAAACTGATTGAATAATCTGAAAATTTAAAAAAGTGAATACATTTACTACTCATTTAATGCAATTGTGAAAATCATCATATCTTATTAACAGACAACAGAGCCTTTTTCACAGAAAGGCAGAGCTCAGGACACACCACAGTAGCTAGCAACTCACTTTTGGACAAATTCTCCGGCAGAAATGAAGAATTCAAACATGGGGATTATTTCTTCTTGTGCAAAGTAATGCCTTAGAACTTACAAAGATACCCAAGGGAGCAAAAAAAAAAAAAAAAAAAAAACCCCTTAGGATTTTCGAGGAAAATAATCTGACGAGATTCCTTGTTCCTCATCCCCAGTGAGAGGGCTTAACAGCCAGCATTCCCATGCAGGCCCACTGTCCATCCTCAACATCACCAGAAGTAGGTGAAGTACTGACCTCAGGTGGTACTAGCTGGTGTGAAGCATGTGCAGCAAACAGAAGAATCTTTGTCACTTCTGAGAGAAAAGAGAAAGAGGGGGGGTGGAAAAGACGTCAAAGTATGTCAACACAACTTACTCTGGCTAATAACCACACTCATCAACACAGACACTTCCATGAGATCCTTAAGTCTCAAAGTCATTTCAGGCTGAAATTATTTGGGACATCTTGTAGAAGTATTTCTTCTGTCCTACCATGCGTTAGGAACACATACTGCTCTCCATCACAGCAGCAGTACAGACCTTAAGAGCCAGCTACACTAAAGCATGCATTGCCATTGCAGACCAAAATATTAGGAAAACAAAGCAGCAAAAAGCACTCACAGCTTTGCTCAGCTAGTGAGGAACTGAAAGGAACTAGGAACTGTGCAAATTCACTTCATCCTATTGCTGGAGATTCTCAAACACTCGAGTCAGGAAAATCAAGTCCATTCCTTGTTTTGAACAATCACAGCCTTCTGTCTCTATCATCCAACACTCTCTGAACTACCCTTACTTTCCTACCACCTACTAAGTTACTGCTGCCTACTCATAGCACCACTTTTAGAAACCAACCATATATGGGCAAGATTGCTATTTACTATTAACTCCTTACCTCTCTGATGGGGCTGCAGGAATCTCTGAATGAAGGGGTAGAAATTAAAAAGAAAAAGCTGCAAGGACAATAAAATTTTAACAGGTTAGCTGCTTATAACTTAAAATCATTTTCATAATCTGGTATGCTGTAAAATCAATGATTCTACATAGCCTGCTCTTCAAATGCCTCAGATTTTAACCGCACGTCATGTTCTCCAGTTCCAAGTGTGAAATACATGGAAGGTGAGGAAAGGACCAATACCAATTAGGGTATTCTGCTGTACGTTCCTCTAGCTTCAGGGACACAGTCTTTTCTCCCAAAGCAGGCTGTCCCTAAATGCAAGTCAGTTTAGCATCTGAGTCCATTCATTAAGTTTTCCAGCAAGGCTGAGTATTTGATACTGGAGCAGACTATCACCTGGACACACTCCTCCCAAGCGAGAAGTATCTCATACACCTTCCCACACCCAGACTTACAAGTTCCTCTGCTTAAGCTTTATGCAATGAAGAAAGGCTTGACACCACTGCAATGCTTGGGTCTACGTGATATGCAAGACTTTGTTTCAGATATTCTGGTCATTGGGAAGGTTGATTTGTGCAGACTAAAGTACAATAAAGCAGATGTTTGTGCCTAGCTATGATCCCAACACAGGGTCACAAAACAACCAGACTACTTTCTCACACTTTCTATATTCAAGATTGCTCATAGGTACTCATACATACAGCCACAGTGAGTGTTCTTCCCTTCCTGTTAACCTTACAGATACCTGCAAGCAAGTTTGCTTCCCTCACTTCCCAGATCCCACATAAGGTACAGATTCTTGAGGAAATTCAATCTGTACCTCAGAGAGTGCTGTTCAAGAGCAACTGATGGACTCGATTTAAAAAACCTCTATGCTGAGGAACCTCCCAGGAACACAGACAAGTCTTTAAATAGGCATCTTCCCATTATTCCTGACAGCTCAAACTATTACAAACCACCAGCCTTCTCAAGCAGAGCTCAGTACAAGTCCACATCATTGTGTCATACCACAAAGATCTTCGGCAACTGCATGGCCATACTCATCTTCATTTTCTAACAGACAGCAAAATTAAAACCCATTCCCCAGTACCAAAAGGCCACAGCACATCACCACCCAACTAAGGTTAGCTTCCATCAGGCCATTACAGAATGAAAAGACCGTACCTCATGTATTCCAACTAGCCTAGATATTAGGTCCATGAGCATCATCTTCACTTCAAATCGTTCCTTACAGTTCTCCAGCTGCTTCAGTAGTTTCTCCGCAAAATCTAGAAGCAATAATAATTTGTAGTAGACTGCAAACAACTCAGCTGGATTAAGAGGGGCAGTCAAGGTTTTGTTGTTTGGTTTCAAGTTCTAGTGTCCTTGCACAGAAGAAACCACAGGTGCTGAGAGCACTGCTCCCAAGCCATTATTTTTCCTCTTGCATGCCTAGAGGACCTGAAGTTGTATACAGGTCCAACAGAAAACTAGAAGTTCTCCAAAGTCATGAAAACAGTCCATATTTAAAGCTAGAGGTTTTTTGGTTTTTTAAGATACATTTGGATCCATCTGAAAAATGAATCATTAGATCAGACTGAGAATGAGTTAAGTGATATGGCAAAAGAAGGTGATAGGAGTGTGATCGCCATCCAGGGAGATGCTGCTCCTTCAGCTGCTAACCTATAAATGAGGGGGAGAAGGGGCAGATCCAGACTCCGAACTTCAGATCATTCAGGTACACTGCCTGCACCTGAGTTCTCTGGGTTTGCCACATCTTCTCACTTGGTGCTTAACCACCGGGTCAGGCTGTGACCTGGCAATTCTACTACACAAGTGATATTAGACAAATGCCAGAGTAGTATTAAGAATACATTTCTAGAAAGGGATAAGCCAGAAAAGTTATGGGAATGAACTATTCCACTTTCACACAAATTATGGCCTTTACACATATAAGAAGGAGGCTAAAAGCCACTTGTTCTGTAGCAACCTGAGGCAGACAATGTAATATTGTTCCTTATCTGCCCTACTAGAAGTGTTCCACTCTGACAATTGTGATAACATTATCTCACATTTTTAAGTGCTATTAAACTCTAGGACAAAGGATGCTAGAAGTATTACACTGTCACCAGTGACTCCTTGCAGCTTTGCCCAAACTTCCATGTCTGGGATTAACACAAAATTAAAAAAAATACAGAATAAGTTAGAAAATACAGAAGGTGATACATGCTTACCCTGGGGATCATGAATCAAGTGAATAGCAGAGAAGTTGAATACCTCTGGCTTGCTTTTCTTCTTGTGTTTCTGCATGGCAAAAAGTATAAATGACACATTTTTTCTTTCCATGTAAAAGCCACAGGTGCTTCAGTACCAGGTTGCCATTTCTCATTACTCCCTTCTGAAAGAAGTGCCTCAATTTTTAATAAACTACCATTCTTTTCAATTGCATAGGATTTTCAGCTACCTGACCTAAGAGGCAACAGGAGCTTCATTAAAAAAAATATTACTTCTCAAGACAGTGTGTTCCTAGTAAGGGATCCCCTAGATCTCAGCAAGTCCACAACTTAGACAAGTGCTCAGACAATTTCAAAAGAGCTGTTTTCAGACAATCATGGCAAGTGCCTGACCAATGGAGGCTAGAACACTTAAGGAGCTTCGCTTGATAAAAGATAACTAATATGACAAATAGCTTAATCTTTCACGTGTAGAAATGCTAAATACCAGAAAGTCAGACACCACTTTCCTCACCTTGAGAACCTTCATTGCCTTTTCCAGTTTCTTCTTGCGCTTGCTGGTTTTCTTGCTAGTTGCATACCGTACCACCAGATCTCTTGCTGTGGGGCCATCATCCTTCACAAGGAAAACAAAACTCAAGTCAAAACAGACTTCAAACAGAAAGCAGAAAAAGTATCAATATTTTTGGGATCATGTACTACATTTGAAAATTGTCTCCACCCATGTAAGTTTCATCATACAGAGACAGCAGCCTTTAAAATCACAATTTCATTGAACCAACTATTAATACAAGAGAAATCATGAACAATTTGCAGCACATCAGCACTAATTCTTACAGCTAGGTAATCACAGACTATTATACAGTCTTACACAAATAGTTACATCCTGGTATTAGTAGGTTCTAAGCTGAAATTGCATCAAGTTACCAGCCTTTCAGGATAAAGGAACGTATAATCAATGAATATTAAGATGTTATAATTACAAAATAAACAAGGGAGTTTGACAAAGCAAACTATGATAACAAAAAGAATAAATAGAAGGCTTACCCCTATCCAGGGCTCACTCACAGAACTCCAGCAGAGCAGATCTCCAGAAGAGATCCTTCCCCACTGGTAGCCAGCTCTTAAATAGGTCTAGGAGGAGTGGAGCCTGGCTCCACCCCTTCCTGCAGCACAGGTGAATTGCCTTCAGCTGTGCTCCTCTGGCTCACCTCAGGTGATCAGAGGTTCAGGCCATGACTCAGCAGTTCCCATACACTGAATTATGTTCATTTGTACATAAATGGGAAATTGAATCCAAGAGGGAGAAATAAAGACAAAGAGCTAACGACAAAAAGCCTACCTCCTAAACATCAGGTGAAAGTCTCTTCTCACAACTCAAAGAGAACATCTACACATTCATTAGCTTAAAAAAAAAAAAAACAACCCCCCCCACCAACTGGCCAGTTCTCCTAGAAATGAATTACTTCCTTGAAAGTGAGTATGAGAACACAAGGAAGCTCTTAGTCAATAGGCAAACAGCAGACGCATCTTGCTAACATTTCTGGCCAACTGGCAACAAATTAAATATTTTGGTGAGGTGGACAACCAACTGGAGGAAACAAGACAGAAGTGTCAGAGAAACAGAAGAGGATGCATTTGCACATTCTGCAAATGTCAGCAGAATGATAGCTTTTACACAATTTGAAGACCTGAGAAAATTTAATCACAACACCCACCTCAGAATCTGAGTCACTCTCTTGATTCTCATCTTCATCCTTCCCAAGGAAGAATTTCAAACCAGCAACTAATACCTGAAAAATGAAGTAAACTGATGTAGAGCACAACAAATAGACAATAGTCTTTACTAGAGCCAAACATCCCCATCAGGGGTTATGCTGAGAAATTCCCTATTATTCATAGGCATGGATACAAAAAGAAAGCAAACCAGATCAAAGTGTTCAATTCAGAGTTGATTTCTGCTGTCAATTCTCAATAACCAGGCACACAAAGGACCAAAAGGCAGCTGGGCTTCTACAGTGAGCATATCCAGCCACACACACGTTTCCTTCCTGTAGTTTGAAATTGCTCTACGCCACTGTTATTGGTAATTCCTGAACAGCTGATACCAGATCAACTGTGCTCAGTACTGTGGAAGAACATCTCAGATCAGTGCATGCATTTGCAAAGCATCCAGCACAGTGCAGAACCTACACAGAAGACAGGCAGCCTCAGATGCACTCAAACCCCCGGCAGGTTAGCAGTTCTCATCACATTTAACAAATAATGGTGCTGCTGCTGAAGGGGCTATATCCTGACAGTGTCTTCTGAGTAGCTGTGGGAAGTACACCCACCCTCCCCATGCCAGCATGCATCTGTAATAAAACAAGCTTCTCATTCTCTCATCCACAGTTTCAAATTATTTCAGTTCTCACCTTTGTCACTTTGGAAAAGCAGGCAGTTGTGATGACATTTACAGTTTTGGCATCATTCCTTGAATAAAACAGAACATTATTTTTTACTTCAAGCCTGGCCATTTTCAAGGTATTGTCAGATAATTAAGTTGCATGAACTTCTAGAAAACAATCTAAATTTCTATGAAGTCTCATGTACTTAAAAACCTTCCTGTTAAAACTGCAAGTCTTTTACTTTCAGCAACGTTTTTTTCATCAGTTCTCTGTTATAGTTCTCAGCTTACTGTTACACCAATAAGCTCTTATCTACTAAAAAACAGATGCTATATTATCGCTTCACAAAAAAAAAAACCCCACCAAAACACAAACCAACAGCAAAACCAGATCACTTGAAGTATTTATCTAGAGTTACCCTATAGACTTCAGAGGAACAGAAAAATATCTTCTTTCCACTGTACATATAAGCCACGTGCTGTTACTAGCAGCTTTATAGGCAGAAGCTCAAACAAGAACACTGAACAATGCATCTGTTTCAATTGCAATACACACAATTTACATTTTCAACTAAATGTCAAGGATCCAACTTTAGTAACTCCAAGATTTTAAAACACAACAGTATTTCTTCCCAACTAAATTACACTTCCAAATACAGCCCTACTGGAACAGGAAGATGATAGATACATTAAGTTCAAGGCTCTCCACATTACATCTTGCACTAAATGCCATGAGTGGCATCAGGATGGGTGTCCCACAGTAAATGAGGAAACAACACAAGGCTGCCAAACCTACCAAATATTCCTTCTGTAAAGTTCAATCATCACATCCAGAGAAATCTTGGCAGCAGTTGGATTGCTATCTCTCAACATAGTATACATGAAGTTCTGCAGTGTCTAAGAAAACAGTTTGGAAGAATTTATTACAAATCTTTCTTAATAAGAAGTAAATTGAATCAGAAGGATACAATACTTACCGTATTTATTTTATTGTTCTTGTGTTTAGCATTTACATTCTTGATGTCTGTCACGATGTGAGTATACAGAGTCTGTAAAAGATAGAGCAAAGAAATAACTTATGCAAGTCGCACAAGGAACACAGTAGATGCATCACAATTTTCCCCCAGCCTCCAAGTACTAAAATGAGACCAGACTCATCACTGATAATACTATTTTCCCATTTTAACTGGAGATGGAAAAAACAACAAGAAGTTACTTTGAGTCTTCGTATATGCTTGATTTTCACGTATTCAAAAAAAGCATACTTAAGTTACAGTACAAACAGTGAGATAGGAAAAGAAATAACAAAGCTTAGCTTAAAAAAAATCCCAATCCTGTTTCATTTGTGCAAGTATAGGCACATTCTGATAGCAAGTTTAATAATCCTGATCATGGAACGCAACTCATTTAATGATTATGGCAGAAAATCTGAAACAAAGCTTAACTAACAGGCTTTTTTCCTTCTTCTGAAGTCAGAAGTTTTCACAAAGAATTCGTTAATTCCTTCTCTGAGAGGAACATGCTTATGGTTCTCACTTGCAGACACATACTAGCTGCTTAATTGCAAATGCAACAGGTTGGAGGCTTGTCCTGCATGTAAGAAAGTTTACAGCATCATGCTTCATTACTAATAAGATGTATTAACCAAGTGTTCCCTTTGGCACTTCTAGTTCCTAAAAGAGCAGAGCTATTTGAAACTTAATTATTTCAGTAGCAAGAAATGCAGAACACCTGTCCACCAGGGCTGCATTACTCTGTTACACTGGTCAAAACCCAATGGAAGGCAAGACCAGTTTTTATAACCACAGCTTACTTTCCGTAGAAGCTTATCATGACATCTCAGCAGCTGAAAGAAGAGCTCCAGCAAACTCGTTGCATTGATCAGGTTCTTGTTTCTTAACAACATCAAAGCCTTACAGAAGGTCTGGATGAGAAACAGAGATCAGGATCAAAATCTTAATGCACCATTCAGCTACCAGCTTTATTAAAAGGCTCAGCAGCAAGCTCAAGGTACTCATCTCTCACAGGGCACAGCCTGCCCAGATGCCTTTTGCATAGGCCTTACCATTCGAAGGTCGGCATCTAGCACTGTGTGGTGGTATGAGAGCAGCTCCTTCAGCTGCTGGGGGAAGTTGGCCATTTGTTCTGGGTAGCAATGGGCAACCTGGGCAAAGACAGGCTCAGGTCAGCTTTCTATTGAAAACCCTCAGTTAGCAAACAACTGCAGGAAGGTGACAGATATTATAAGCAACCCATAAAGCCGTTCTTACAATAGCAATCTGGCTACATATAAAGATACACAATGACCAGATGTGTAACTTCAACAGTTATAGTACAGTTATAGTACAGTTATAGTACAGTTATAGTACAGTT